TAGTCAGGTCATAAATTCTGTCACATGTTTAATATAAAATAATTGAAACAAGTGTATTCATTATGTAACCCTTTATATACCAAAATGAACTTAACAAAACATAGATTCTTATGACACTAAAGTTGATTCAAAATGACCGCCGTGATTTTGAATACAGGCCTTCAATCTGCGCGGCCAGTCATCTATCGCAGCACAAACGAGGTCCATGTCAATATCGGCGGCTGCCTTAATCAAGGATGTCTTGAGTGACTCCAAATTGGGATGAGGCTTTGAGCACGCCTTTTCCTCCAAGTGTTGCCATATCTTGTAATCTAACGGATTCAAATCTGGACTGGAAGAGGGCCAGTCTTCGTGCTGAATGAAGTTGATTTCACGCGCCGCCAGCCAATCTTGTGTGCTCTTCGCTCTATGAGCTGGCGCCGAATCTTGTTGGAAATTGGAATACCCAGTGCCTGTTATTGAACATGGTATGAGAAACAGGTTCCACAAGGTTCGTCAGGACTGTATTTTGATACACAACTGCATTCGTTTTTACACCTTTCTCACAAAAATGTACCTCTGTTAAGCCCCAATAAGAAACTTCCAACCATACCATGAGCGAAGATGGAAAATGACCTCGTTGGACACGCGGAATACGGTTGCTCGCTTCTTCACTACTGTGTGCGTACACCTTATCATTTTGTTTGTTGTAGCTCTCTTCTTCTTCTTCTTGCTTTTTCTCCACGGTAAAAAATTTTTTCATCCGAAAAAAGAATTTCCCGATATTTTTTCCCGCGTACCGCTTCAACAAAGCGCGGCATCTCTTCAGTTTCAGGTCCATTAGACGAGCATTCAAACGATGTCCTGTTTTTCTTCGATATACCCGAAGCCCTTAGTCTTCATTTAACACCCCTTTCACCGTGGTTCTGCTTAACCCCATCTGAAGGGCCAACAGTTTCTGCTTACGTTTGAGATTTCTTTGAATTCGCGCCTTCACAGCTTTTATCACTGCTGGAATCCTAACAGACCGAGGGTGACCACTTCTTGACCTGTCATCTACACTAGAGTTTTCATTGTATCGTTTGATGGTACGATAAACGGATCCTTTGGTTATAATCAAATTTTTCAGTATGTCAAAAATTTGAATTGGCGCGTAACCGCAACGATGCAACGCAATAACTGCAACACGGTCTTCTTTAAGCGTCCACTCCATATTTAAAAATTTATGAACAATTCGAAATTCGAATTCAATAAACTTTTTTGTGGCCAGCATTCTAAAAGAAAAGTTTTTACTGTGTGACAATACTTATGACCTGACTAGGTATATATAATATATATATATATATATATATATATATATATATATATATATATATATATATATATAAAAAAATTATCGTACAGCAAAAAAAGCTAATTCTAGCTTCCAGTGCCTAGTTTTCGGATCTGGCCATAAACCTAAGGAACCTACAGAAAAAAAGAAGAAAGAATAAAAGACGTTCTTAAAAGACGGTCGTGTTTAAAATTCCTTTTTCACGATTTATCTAGAAAGCTCTTTTAGGAAATTTAATGCCCTTTAATTTGACGTAACCAAAAAGCCTGTACGTTGACTTGCCGCGGAGTTATCGTCAATCAAATCAAAAAGTTCTTTTTAACTTTGATAATCAATAACTCTGGCAATAACGATCGTATACCTCACCTAAATCCATCACCTCATTTCCAGGAATTATTTTTATTAATGTATTCCTTCATATTAAATAACACTTTGTATACGAAGTATTAATTTTTTGTTTAATGAAATTTAATTAACATAAACTGTATAAATAAAATTTAACATATCAATTGACAAACTTTGAAAATGTTCTGGGATTTTGTAAATGAAACAAACTTTGAAAATGTACTAATTAATGGAAAAATATGAGTCAAGCAACAGAATTTTTGACCATGGAAACCAACATCTGATTACTGAAAAATGAGAAAGGTAAAATTCGGTCCCTAAGTAAAAACATCGGTCCGGAAAAATCGTTGGTGGTAAGTAGTCGATTCTATTAGGAAGTTGTGCGATAGAGAAAACTTCTAGTAAATCGCATAGTGGTGGACTGGGTTGTTGTGTGACTAATAAATTAAGAAAAACCATATTTACCATTAATTTACGAATCTTTTTTTAAATTTCAGATTTGTACACAAGTGTATCTGCTTTTAACTTTAAACTAGTCTAGGGCGCCACCGACTAATATCTTTTCCATTGCAATATTTTGTTAAATACGCATCCTGTTCTGGTTTTGTTTTCAGTACGTAAAAATATTCAAACATTGATATCGCTTACTATAATGACCGCATCGTAATGCCGGTGGTATCTTGGGTGCGTATTTGAAAAAAAGTTATTTTAGGTTTACAAAAAAATCCATACAATTTTATTTTTATTAAAAATTAAACATTAATTAAATTATTTGGACTTATGTATTTTCAATTTCATTAAGATTTATTCATTGAATAAAATAAGATGCACATGCAGATGACATGTTGACGGTACCTATCTACCGAAAAACAAACTATCTAATTCGGTTGTGAATTATCTTGTTTCTTGTTAAGAAAAGGGAGAAAAAGTGCCTCTGAATAAGGCCAGGAAACGTAAACGAGATCCTAAACACGGGAAAAGGGCAAGTTTTTTTACTGCTGTAAGAGATATTATAATATAACTGTTTGAGGCAGCCATGACATTTTCCTTGAAATAAAAGCCTCTGATTGGTTCAACCACACAGAATCGACTTTGCTACTAAGCAACGCTAACCTCAAATCATAACAAAATAATGCTTTGTAATTCAGTTACTTGAGATTCAAGTCATGGAATACAATTAACTACTCGAGTTTAAGATTCACAGCAGAGTCAATTTTGATTTCATGCAACCTAAATACTCAAATACTAAAAATCTGATCCGGCCATTGAAGTAATATGTACTTACGTACTAGAACAGCTATCTCAAACAAAAAATGCGCGCTACTCTGTGTTCGCGCGGTTGTTTTTTTATCATAGAATAAACATAGGTAGAATGACCCGTAGGTAATAGTAGATTGTATTATTAAATGGGGTAGGTAATAGTAGATTGTATTGTTAAATGGGTAAATTATATCGAGAACAATATTTAAATTTTGTCATTTATTTTGTATATTATATTTGCTTATTTGATATAATATTACATAGCATTGTATCACAATTACGCTTTAATGATATTTTTGTCTGAATATTTTAAAAGGTATCTACGTCAAATATAAAAAAACATACTGAATGTATGTTTAACAAAATTTATTAACATAACATTTGAATTACAAATATTTTTATTTAAATTAAAATAAGAGTCGTTCATAAATGCTGGGTACGCGAGAGTTAAAAATGGACGAATTTATTCCACTTTGACTTTGATGTGGAAACCTAAAAATAAAATAAAATAATAATAAGCAGATTTAAACATGAAAAATTTAGCCTAATTATAATAACTTATATATGTTTCTACAAAAAATATGTGTATAATAATATATTCGTCCTATACTTAAGTACCCACAGAAATGTCACATCTGAACATATTAATTTCATAATCTATATTCCATGACACATGATGGCGTCTTAGGAATAATTTGTTTTATTATTAATATATAATACTTTTTTATTGATTAAGTATCTTATTAACCGATGAAAAGTAATTCCTTGTTTTTTACTGAGATTTATTGAATTATTTGTGCAATATCTCAGTACACACGACGGCATATTTTTATCAAGAGATTTTTTTTTAAATCAACACAACACGTGACAACTCTACAAGCGCCTAACGAGTGACTGATTAAAGTGCGGCGTATGCACCGCAGTTGAGTGGAACAGAGTACCTGAATGCAGTGTCGCCTCTAGTACGTAGTACATAATAGCTCAATGGATCCGGCACATATAACTTTCCGTAATTTTGGGAAGAGCTCTAAACGAACTATTATCAAGGTAAGTCTTATTTCTTGCCTTGGAGTCGATAAGGTTACTTTTTAACTTTATATATATAAAGTTTGTCTTAAGAGGATAGAGTAAGTCAGCTCAAATTCTAATTTCGCCCCCACTTCCCCCGCGCGTCGTATGCTATTGTACCGACATGTTTGTAATCAATAATACTGTAAGTAGAAAGGTCGTTAGATACTTATTTCATTAGGTTTATCATATTTATGCCTGTTTTTTAACGCCAACCCAGTCGCGTCTTTTTTTTATAACGGGTATTTTCCATTTTAATTTTAAGTCGTCCTGTTGCGTAATTTGTATTCTGATCGTAAGCGACACAACTTCTCCCTTCAAAAGCCGGAGCGATACTAACTGGGCGACAGGAATCAAGCTTAGGTAATTTCTTTTTACAGTGAAAATAATGGTATTTTAAAAAAAGTAAATAACATAAGCACTGCTTTATAGTTAGTTCAGTTAGTATGCAAAGTTTCATGATCTTATTTAAAGTATTTTATGAATAACAGCGGTTTATTGTTCAGTTTGGAGGTAACTTTGGATTTTTTTTCTATCGAGAAAATTTTACGGAATCGTGTTTTCGTCTAACATAGTCCTTAACAATAATCCTCAACTTTACCATATATTTATTTCAAAATTAATGCTGCAATACTTTCGGCATAACGGAGGATCTTGCTAAGCCATTTGAGATTATATTTCCCCTTAAGTATTGTGGACGCACACTTATCACACACAACATACATAAAAGGCACAGATACAAATATGTTCTCACCTTTTGCTATTTCTACCGCTGAGAAGCAGTGTACCGCTACTGCTTTATTCCGGTTTAAGGGTATATAATCAATCAGTGTTATTACATCGCAAAGTAAAGCATCCCAACATAGACCTTACAAGCGATTACACATTGGTAATCTTCTTTGTTTGAATTTAGTTGAAAATGCAAATGGGCTAAAGTGGATATTTACCATCAGACGGATACCTTTTACGTCGCTATTATATTATAACAAATGTGAATGTGATATTAGTAAGTTACCTCTGTGCGCCGCGGCGTTACTCTCGACGGCGAACATGTTGAGCGCGGTGAGCTGGAGGAGGCGCGCGGCGGGTGTGGGCAGCGGCTGTCGGTGCAGCAGCGCGCGGAACTGACGCAACATGCGCCCGGCGCTCGCGTGCAAGCTCTCCATACTGTTAGGACATAATTGATTTGAAACGGTTCAAAACATTCTTGTCAACCTCGAGCACAGGCGCAGAGTCGCCGATAGATCGTTATTCTATTGGTTACTTTGGATTCTGAATTTGCGCAGGAATTACATGTCCTAATTCCTCCCTCCGCTTTTTACCATCGGACAAGCAGACGGTTTGCAGTTCTTCGCACTTTTGTCATTAATATCCCATGCATTGGAAGAAAATGCCGTTATCTGTCTTTCCGCCCAATAACAATCTGGATGTTTTCAAAGCACGGGTAAAGTAGGCTTTTGTTATATTAAAACAGTACAATTTATATTTTAGGCAAGCAGTCACCTATAAATTAAAAAAAACAATAATTGTAAGTTTAACTTTTAGTAGTTAAATTTTAGTAAGGCGTTTAAGGGTGCCCTCCCCCCCCCCCCCCCCCCCACATGACTGTTTGCCGACGCAAGCGATCAAATACAGCGTGCATCAAAAGCGGGCTGCACGTTTTCGAGAACAGTATTTGCAACAATCTCGTTATGTACAACCTCAATCCTAATATTGAGCACAAAATGAACATTTTGTGAAGAGTCAAAATGTGTCGAAAAAGGCACGTATGGCAATACACAATGCTGTGTTGGTCCCTACTTTAACGTATGGTAGTGAAAGTTGGGTGTGGCAGAAGAAGCACGAGAGTAGAATAAACGCAGTAGAAATGCGGTCGTTAAGGAGTGTATTAGGGCTGAAACTGAATGACAGGGTAAAAAATTGTCCCCCCGCACGGGTTCCCGCCTTGTCGTGGCGGGGGGCTTAGTATCCGTGGCTTGGTCTCCCACGGTGAACAAAGAGGAACCCACGTGGCTGGCCCGAGGTGAAGGGCCGGCCTGAGGTGGCCACTCCGAGTGGGCTTGGGGAGCCCACTTCGGATGTGTGCTGGTGGACTGCAGCGAGTGGGGACTCCGCACCCTCTACCGCTGCAGCCGAGGTGGAGTCGCGGAGGAAGAGGAGTGTTGGTATGGCGATGCGCCACTCGCCCTATCTTCCGCGACTCAAACGGGGCCGCACCGTTGATGCGGTGGTGATGGGGCTGCGGGGGGAGAGGATTGTCGGTATTGCGAGGCGCCGCTCTCCCTATCCTCCGCAGCCGAATCTTGGTTGGCGGCGGAGCCATAGACCAGATCCGCCGCTGGGAAGGCTAGTACTTCTAAGTGCTCGTTTTTCCTGGCCCCATGGCCTTCGCGCATCGGACGCGGGGGCTTCTGTTGCGCAGATGCAATTGGAGGCCGTGGAGGAAGGCGTGCCATGTGTTCTGGTGCGCCTTACTTGGGAAGAAGAACGGGGAGGAATATTCCTCTCCCGAGGAGGTGCTGCCATGGGGCAGCAGTCGCTGGTAGGGCCGCGGAAGTGTGCGAAAGCGTTCCCGTAGCCCTGCCAATATGCGACGAAGGTGGAACATCATGGGGTTTTAGTCGGTGCGAGTCCGACATAACCCGTCCTTGCCCCCGCGAGGCGGGTATGCGTAGGCATTTCCCCATGTAAAAAAAAAGGGTAAGAAATTGTGTAATAAGAGAAGAGTGTGGTTTGCAAGATGATGTTGTGACCAGGATTAAGAAAGGAATGCTTCGGTGGTTTGGTCATGTGGAAACAATGAATGAGGAAAGAGTGACAAAGAAAATTTATGTTGCAGCAGCAGCAGAAGTGAATGGCAGAGTCGGAAAGGGACGTCCTAGGCGAAAATTTATCGACTAAATTGGCGATTTTTTGAAAACGGGCCAAATTTGGAGTATCCTTAACCGACGAGCATGTATGCGTAGGTGTATGGATGTGAAGGAGGCGAGAGAGGTGTGAGGATCGTGCCAAATGGAAGTCTGTAGTCTCTGCCTACCCCTCTGTATGACAGACGTGAGTGTTTATGTTTTTATATTATGTATAATAAATAGATAGGAAAGTTAAATAACTGATTGATCACTTTTGTGATGGTTGTTTGATACAAAGAGCTGATTGTTCTCCACTCTTCGCAGTGTCTCCTCTTTTACCAGTAGTTTTCAAACTATTGCGGGTTAAATATACTTAAGATTACTTTGGGGCAAGAACGATGTGGCACGGTAAAGCTTTTCGAGGTCAAGTGATGGAGGCACAATAGAAAAGAGTTGAAATTTCAATACAACAAACATTGAAAGTTTGAGGATAATGAAAAGTGTGATGAAAAAGACATAGTTGCTATAGTGTGAGCGTGAAATAGAAGCAGATTTCATGAAATATTAGACGAAATTAAGCTACAACCATATATTTAAATGTAAATGTTTTAGGGCAAGGAAACGCCTGACACGCCTGACATGTGAACTCCACCCAGACGTAATGCGTGAAGTACACGCATTACGTACTGGTGGATTTCACATGCCTTCAATAATTTCCTTTCATTTTCTCAGACATATAGGTTTCCACTTAAAGTTACAGTTAACAATTTTATTGGTGTCGGCGAGGATCGAGCTCTGGTTGCTCTCGTTCTGTGAATTTACGCCAAGAGCTTAGCCCCTGAGCCACCATGGCTCATACAGGGCTGCACTAAAAGTATCGGGAATGGAATATTTCCACTGTTCGTGTCATATTAAAATCTTTTTAATTGAAAACTCCTTGGTTTTAAAAATCGAACATCATTTATTTATTTAAAAAAAGATTATCGGTCTTGTCACAAGGTTTTGTCAAACTTGTTTAGTCGTTGAAAAAAAAGAATTGACTCGAGAAAATTCAAGAGTGATGATTTGACTTTCGAAGTGGTTCAACACAAAAACAGTGAGTTGACCGGATGATTTCTGCATTTGGTGATGAAGCCCCATCCAAAACCACAATTTATCGCTGGTTTGCTGAATTTCAACGTGGACGTGTCAAGCTCAGTGATGATCCCCGTCAAGGTCGTCCAAAAACTGCAGTCACCCAAGAAAACGTTGATGCTGTGCGTAAGCTGATTGAGGAAGATCGACATGTGACATACCGCGAAATTCAGGCAACTTTAGACATTGGCATGAGTCAAATACAAATAATCTTGCATGAACAATTAGGTGTAAAAAAGTTGTTTTCCCGATGGATACCGCATTCGCTATGTGAAGAGCAAAAAAGCGGCTCGCGTTACTTGGTGCGTCAGAACTCTCGAAAGATTCGACGCAGGATCCTCAAATGCTGTATACAACATCGTATCAGGTGACGAATCCTGGATATACGAGTACGAACCCGAAACAAAAAACCAGTCACGAGTTTGGGTGTTCGAAAATGAGTTAAAGCCAACAAAAATTGTTCGTTCACGGAGTGTTGCAAAAAAAATGGTGGCCACGTTTGTCTCCAAAACCGGCCATGTTACGACTATTCCTCTCGAGGGACAAAGAACGGTTAATGCAGAATGGTATGCTAGCATTTGTTTGCCACAGGTCGTTTCTGAACTCCGTAAAGAGAACTGCAACCGCCGCATCATCCTCCATCACGACAATGCGAGTTCTCACACCGCACACAGAACAAAAGAGTTTTTAGAGCAAGAAAACATAGAACTATTAGACCATCCACCGTACAGCCCCGACCTAAGCCCTAATGAGATATTTGATATGAATGAGATATATTGCCCTAATATACTTTCCCTAAAATAAAGAATAAATTGCGTGGACAGAGATTTTCATCACCTGAAGAAGCTGTGGACGCCTACAAAACGGCCATTTTGGAGACCCCAACTTCCGAATGGAATGGTTGCTTCAATGATTGGTTCCATCGTATGGAAAAATGTGTCAAATTTCGCGGAGAATACTTCGAAAAGCAATAAGTAGATTTTTAAATAGTAATGTTGTGTCACTTCCTTGATTCCCGAAATTTTCAGTGCCGTCCTCGTATATGTTATATATACAAGGTGTAAGTGTAAACACCGTTGTCACTAAAACCATAGGTAGTTGGCTATAATATAAAAATATTTATCCGAATTTTTAAAAAAAAATAACGCTATTTTCTTTTATAAAATTTAAAAAGTTTCTGTCCGACACCGTCCGTAAATTCATGGCTACCCTATGCGCCCGAGTGACGTAATCACTGTAAAGATCACCGCCCGCCCTAGCTACCTACACAACATTCCAATAAAAACACAATAGGTACACATAACCTGTGATGTAACTTTTCCTTCATACTTTCATCCTGGCTTAGGACAGGCAAAATTTGAGGAATTAAAAAAAATTAAGATTTTACTAAAAAAATGTTGTTATTTTTCATTTAATTTACGTTATATAAGTGAAACCAAACCACTGGTTTCAAGGATAACGGTGTTTACACTAACATCCTGTAGTTATCAATATTCAACTTTTAACATTATTAATTTTTGTCGTTGTGCATTTTTTGTATTGCATACAATTTATGTTTTAGTTCTGATATGTATGTATTAGAGATGGGCCGAATTGGATTTCACTGAATACGAATATTCGGCCGAATGTTCGGTAAAACTTTTACCGAACCGAATATTCGCCCGAACTTGATTAGGCAGGATCATCTCGGTACATAACCAATTTATGTCAAAACTTGTTACCGTAAAGTGCGCGGGATTAGCGCCGGACCCTGCCTCTCGCTCCCCCGCCACACCCGATATGTTATTGCATTATTTAATACTGAGCAAATTACCGGTACATGCTTGATGACTATTTTTGTGAGAAAAAAAAAGAAATTCCTAGTGTTATTCTTAATGAACATGGATAATTATGTGATAAAAATGAGTGGCAGGAGATATACCATTTGGACTGATAAAGTGAAATGTACTTTGTATAATGTAACGCAATATTTATTTGTTTTATTACAAAGAAGTATATCAAGCTTTCTATTTGCTATAATTGTAAATAAATCTGCAGTGCCTCTAAAGCATTATGCTATACAAGTAGATTTAACCCATAAATAAAATATACTTTCAAGAGTAAAATTATGAAAAACATGGCATTACTCAATTCGTACATTTAAATACAGTGGACACTTTGAGTACCACTTTATGAATATTCGGTGATTTAGCCGAATATTCGGCCGAATACGAATATTCGGTAAAGCTGCCGAATATGCCAAATACCGAATATAAAACGAATATTCGGCCCATCCCTAGTATGTATGCCAATTAAAGTTACATAGTATTTGCCTGTAATACTTATTATAAATTATGCTTAGTGATTCAAACAAAATAAAACTAAATAACCAAATATTGAAGATATTTAAAAAAAACTGAAATCTAACAATATTATAGATTAATAAGCCTGAATTTATGAAATATGAAACCAAAAAAACTCAAACAAATCGCATCTCAATCCGGCTAGTCACCGTGGGGAAAGGTCAGCAAATGTTTTTAGTGAACCAAACAAATCCACGCTGGTTAAACACAACAAGGTCATGACTGTATTCCTTACTTGGCACTATAAAGAGATCAACAACTAAGAATGCGTGGTGTTTCGCGAGAATTTGCGGTCTATCAAATCTGATGTAATGGTTGGAGCCGTCTAGGATATGATCACAAACTGCAGACTTCTCGGAACGTTGATGCTTCACGTCATCTATATGTTCTTTTACGCGGGTTCTAATTAAACTTTTTGATTGCCCTATATATGAGAGACCACATTCACAATCAATCTTGCAGCATCCTCTACAAGATGTAGGAGTGTACTCCTAAGGAATATGACACTTAACGGATGGTAAGAACTGACCAGTCTTGTTCAGCGGCTTGTAGAATGTTCTTCCGCGAAAACCTACAATGTATGAACATGGCATGAACAGAACGGCTATTAAAACTAATCCACGCTCACGTTAATTATCACATACCAGGACTCGGGACAAAAAAAAGCTAGATTACAACATTGAAGATCACTAAGATTGTATACACTGTTATACAGGAAAACTATTGGGCTTTATGAAGTGGGATTCATAGACAAGAAAACTCATAAACAAAATATTGTCAATTATATCGGTAGATCAGAAAGAGTGGCTGTATTAAAATTTCATTTGGTGGTGATAAAATATCTGGTTGCGCGGAAAACGATCAGTGTATTTTAATTTTATTCGATGGTATATTGTGCCAAGTGTCCTTCCTTCGACCTATCCCTTCCGTACACAGTGAGAGGGGGGTGAGAGGGGAAAGAAGAGATTCTAGAATGTTGCGTGATTCTTGCAACCAATGAGATGCGCGCCCGACCGAGATGCATTGATAGGAAGGCCGAAGCAATATAAGCTCGCGCGCTGCCCTCGAGTGCTCTCTTGCCTTCGCGCCGCTAGTCTAAACCGCACCTGGAGCAGTCGAGCTCCAGAAGTAACCGCCTCGCATAGTGTGAGATAATGTCGCGCATCACTCTCTTCCATCGCACCACCGGCCAGGACCGCATCCCTGGGGCGCCCCAGGAGACCCACCAGAAGTCGCACCACAGCAACGGAAGCGCCTAAGCCGCATCGAAGTCACACCCCGGTAAGTGTGTTTTCCTATAATTCAATGCCTGCTTGAGTATTTGTTTGTTAGCTAACCCGCCCCATTTCACTTCTCCTAATGTGCTCAAGCAGGATTCCTTCATAACCTTGGCAAACAATAGGTTTCGGAAGAGCGAGTGCATTGTCAAGGAACCGCGTGCCACATCGGCCATCTTGTTGAGGCAGAAGAAGCTTACCGCGTATACAGTCCATCTAGTATAACATCTCGCGTAATAGGGTCAAGGCTCGACCGGGGAATCGGACTCGGGAACCCTAAGGCCCGCCGCCCATTCATTTTCTGGTCATTCGAGCGGATTTGGAAATGGTGCTTTGTAGCCTCATCGAGTCGAACTGCTGGATTAATTCCTTAGAAAATACACTCTAATTTAATATTGGATAGATTATGTAGTTTTGTTTAGTTTAAATTTAAAATTTGTTAGTTATTCGCATAAGTAAATCGACTTATTTATTCAAATAGTTTGGATCCGCTTAACCTTATTTAGCCTACCCACCATTTGTAAAAAATAGTGCGAATTTTAAATTCTTATCTGTCGACGCGCGTTATCTCGTTTGGTTGCAAAGATGTTCAATTTAACGACGTAATACGGCACGATAAGACAATAGTGTTGTGAGATATAGTTGTATTACATTGTGTCCACACTCCAGCGTTGTGCGATTGTTAGTGATTAATCTAATATTAATTATAGTGATTTAAAATGGCAGTTAGTGGAAATAAAATTAAACTTAAAACTCTTTACGCCAAGAGGGACGTACTCTTTTCACGTATACAATATATAAGTGATCACATAAAAAATATTAACGTAGATTCAGTGCGGGAAACGTTTTTATGTGAAATCGAAACGGTGGACTCTTTGCGATCGGATTACGAAAAAATATTAGACAACATTAATAGTTTGGAATTACAAATCGACCCTAAGTATACAGTGAATTATCAACCACTTCTATCATTTGAAGATATGTTGTGTCGCGTAAAAAGAACGGCAAAGCTCTTACAGTCTCCAGCCCAAAGCAAAGCAAAAACAGAAATCCAGGTACGCCCACGTGAATCACTTAGATTGCCCCCCATAGATATTCCGGTATTCAATGGAAATATTAAAACTTGGCCGTTGTTCATAAATAGTTTTGAAAATAATATACATAATAATCCATCGCTATCGGACGCTGAAAGATTGTATTACTTAATCAGTAAATTGAGCGGTAGGGCACAGTCCATTTGTTCGGACTTCATACCAACAGCAAACAATTATTCGTTAATATTTGAAACACTTAAAAACAAATATGAAGATAAGAGAATGTTAGCCTCTTCATATTTAGACCAGATATTCGATCTTAAAGCTATATCATCCGCGAACATCACCGGCTTAGAGCAGTTTTTAGATAAATTTGTAGCATCGGTGACAGCACTCAAGAACTTGAAATTTAATGACCTTATGGACGTGGTGTTTCTCCATATCGCCTTAAAGAAATTAGACTCGGACACCGTGCGTGCGTTTGAAATGGAGCATCGTAGCTCTGAGTTGCCGTCATTCGACTCATTAGCATCCTTTGTACGAGATCAAATTAAAGTGATACAGCGCTCCTCGAATGTCAAACAAGAAGCTAAGAAATGTGTCGATCGCAAACAGATCTCATCAACTAGGACTGCTGGGTCTCTAACGTACGTAACCGCTGCGCCTGAATCGCTTCATAGCGCCTGTGTTCTATGTAAGAATAAACAACACGGTAATTTGCATAATTGTCCGACCTTTCGTAAACATTCACCCAGCGAACGTTACAGAATAGTAAGGACGAACAACTTATGTTTGAATTGTCTAAGCGATATACATTTAGTTGCTAAATGCAATTCTAGTTCCGTGTGTAACAAGTGCGCCAGCAGACATCACACGTTATTACATTTCGAAGGTGGCAACATATTCACGTCGAGTAAATCGGACAAGGAAACTACACATACTAAAGTCGACGATTCTAGCGGTCGACCGGGTGACGTCGCCCTGTGCTCACTGTCGAATGCGAGAACGCAGTCTCCTTCCACCGTGTTACTGGGTACAGCCCGTATCGTAGTTAGTGATTCGCGTGGAAACGAACAAAGTGTCCGTACGTTGCTGGACAGCGGATCACAAAGTAGCCTTATAACGCGACAATGTTGCCAGCGTTTAGGATTGCTGTCCTGTAGTCAAAGGCATCGGAGGTACTAATAAAATTACCCAGGGCTCTATAAATTTGAAATTTTACTCTCGGCTAGATCGTAACATTAATTTTAATATAAATGCGTTAGTAGTAGATAAAGTCACCGAGCGTCTGCCGACCGTTTCGGTCGACACCTCGGCAATGATTGATTTTGAAAATTTGACTCTGGCAGACGATACTTACGCCGTCCCCGGAGATATAGACATGCTCATTGGAGCATCGCTTTTCCCTCATCTTTTGTTACACAATAAGGTCAGGGGCAAAGTATAAGTCCACGTGGTCCTATGTATACAATAAAACTAGTTTCAGCCCCACTGCTCACAAGACTAAATTTAGTTGCGCGGCTGAATCCACGTCCTACAAAAATATTGAATTGTTCGGTTTTTTTATGCTTTTTTATGCCAAGTCAAATTTACAAAAAGATGGCGTTACCCTTCATACGTAGGTATGTCATTTTCAATCACATTGCTACATACTACTTTAATTATTTATAAATTAATAATTTACAGTAATAACGGTTATCTTACTTCGGATTTGGTTACCAACACAGGCCGTTCGCGCCGATACAAAATGATAAATAAATCGATGGACAGGTAAAGCATTTATTTGTTTCCCCAATCACACACGCATAATATGCAGATCCGTGGAGGATCCAAGTCTAAATTAGAGTTGTCGCCGTCATCCAGTTACACTGTTATAATGTATCTATGTGTGTGTAAAATAGTTAGTTTATTGTTTTAATTAAATATAAATATGTGTGAGTTTCGTAGTGATAGATGATTGTTTTTGCAGGGTAGATATCCAAATATCGCAAAAAAATGACAAGACAGGTCTGTATCGGGAAAAACGCTATGACTAATCCCCTCCGATCTGCCGGTGTTCCATGTTGCTCTATGATAAGGAATAAATAAAGCTTTATTATTATTATTATACAAACTTAAAAAATTTATGAATTACGGGCGAATTTTGAACACTAAGCGACCACAAGTCAAGATGAATTTTCGATTATGACCCACTTTACGGCAATGACAACATGACTGTCATTAATAATTTATATGAATGTCGCGGATGGTGGATTTGTACCGATCTTTGTATCATCACTGTACAGATTATTACTTACTTAAATTTTCATTTCATAACTTTCATTAAGACAAATAAATGAGAAACTCTCCCAATTATAAAATAGTTAACTATTAAGCTGCTACCTACTACTGTCTCAACTACTAAGCAAAAAAAAAACTATAAGATGCTACTTACCCAATTTTTGTGATTAACTTCCCATGCACATGTAAATAACTCGTGATGAAATTTTTATTTAGCTGTAACAAAAGAAACATTCTTATATCAGATTGGATTACACTTCTTATGGCCATCAGAACAGCCTATTTTATAGATAGAATGTAAATTGAAATGCCTACTGAGATATTTTTATACGTAACATAAACCTGAACATGAACTATTATTTTAGGGCTGCCACTGCGTTAAGCGGGACACGCACTCGGATACAAACGTGCGTGTCTGTTTCTTCAAAATTCAAGAGCACCGTTACGTCGCGTCGTGCGGATGCAGTGGTTTCACACGACGGAATCCGCTACGTGTACTAAACTTTACAATTTTGTAACAAGTATGGCAAGTCGCTCAACATTATCTTTGTTTACTTTGACGTGCGTAGAAAAACCGACGATGGATTGCAATTGCAAAAGTGTGTTGAAACTTCGCGCACATACGCAAATGGTCGGGACCCGGGTCACATTTAGCAACTATGACCTAAGTACATGTTTGAAGAAATTTCAACACGCAATTAGATCAAAACGAAATTAAGTCTGGCGTCAGTCTTCTACTGCTTTGCGTTATCTCGGCTACTGACAGGGTCCACTATCCTGCCGGCCTAATACAAATTATTATTTAATATAAGCGATTATTGTTAAGTTTAATAATAAAGTTAGTATTTATAACCATAATAATACTACATACTTACTGTTTTCAAGTCATAAGATCTTTTCGAAATAGGGTGAATTTTCTTACGCTACCACTAAACGCCAAAGCATGTAATGGTGACATGAAATATTATGCTTAGGCAACAAGGGTATATATTTGAGCACCTTTATAAAAGATATTCTCCTTTTTCTTTACTTTATGTAATAATCTATAATGAATTAAAAAAACGTGATGTTGAAGTTGATTCAACCGAAACGGAGTCAACTCCTTGTATGGAAAATATAAGATGTCAAAATGTTAATTTCAAGAACGGGAATGAAGCTAAATGAAGTGCTCACTCGGCTTTCGACAAAAACAGTAGACTTTTTAAGCAAAATAAAAAAAAAACAATGTAATAAATATGGCACAGCCGAATTTTCGAATAATTATATTTGTTTGTAAATCTAATGTAAATATTTCGTAGGTTTTATAACATATTTTGAATGATTACTAGTGGTATGTAATATCTGTACTATTAATCATAGGTGTCTTACGGTATCCAAAATATTTGATCGCGCTATTTATATATTTATATACATATTGTTTTTTTTTAGATCATGTGTACGCAACGCAGTCACAATTAAAATGAAGCGGGCGCGAAGAAAATACTGGTCAACAGTTGTATGGTATTTTTTATCTATTTTTCAGCCGTGTTTATTCCGCCTAGACATTTATATAGAATTTTTTTTTCGTGTATGAACTTCGCGTGGTCATGGCAGTTGAGCGAACGTCGTCGCTGTGATGACTGGAAGAACACACAATATTTTGATTGTCTGTTGTCGTAAGAACCAGGCACTCCCCTCGACAGAAGTCATGGCGTCAAATCGCTCCACAGCCTTGGTGATGGCAGGATTAGTAAAACGGTTTTTAAAATCTGACATTCACCTGGGCAAACGTGATGGCGTCGAAGCGATCGTAGTCACTGACAGCAGAAACGGCGGTACACACAAATTGTTTATTTAATGTACGTCTGGGGAAGCAGCAGGCACTGACCTCGACAGACGTCATGGCGTCAAATCGCTCCACCGCCTTGGTGATGGCAGGATCAGTAGAACTTACTTACTTACTTACTTATCTTCACGCACAATCCCTAACGGGGTAGCCAGAGAGAACAGATCGCCAAGTGTCACGATCCTTACATACCTCTTTCGCTTCTTTCAGGTTCATTAACTTCTTCATACATGCACGTCTAGGTATCCGAGTACTCTTGACCCTCCCCCTCTTCGAGCAATTTGCTCACATGGTCTTCGAAAGTTAGTCTCGGTCTACCTCGACACCTTTTAATATTTACTTTCGCTCTATATATTTTCTTCACCATTCGGTCTTCACTCATTCGTTCAACGTGCCCAAACCATTGGAGTACGCCCCTATCAATTTTTGTGATAAGGTCATCTTTCAATCCTGCCATATTGCGAATCTCTTCGTTTCGCTTTCGGTCGGCTAAGGTAACGCCACACATTTTACGAAGAGATCGCATCTCCACTGCATTCAACTTGCTTTTATGCTTCTTCTGGCATACCCAGGTTTCGCTGCCATATAACAAAGTCGGTACCAACACTGCATTATGTATTGCAAGGCGTGCACTCTTCACCACGCCTTGCCTTTTTACTAATGCATTCAGGGCACCATTGACTTTGTTTCCGGCAGCGACACGCCTGTCCACATCTAAATCACATCTTCCATCCCGGCTGAAAGCACTCCCCAAGTATACAATTTCATTTACCTGTTCTAGACATTCCTGATTTACCCATATTTCACATTTCGTTCTCTCTTCGTCCTTTTCAAATACCAGATCTGGTATCAGTAGAACGGTTTTTAAAATCTGGCATTATCCTGGGCAAACGTGATGGCGTCGAAGCGATCGTGGTCACTGACGGCAGGAACGGCGGTACACACAAATTGTTTATTTAATGTACGTCTGGGGAAGCAGCAGGCACTGACCTCGACAGACGTCATGGCGTCAAATCGATCCACCGCCTTGGTGATGGCAGGATCAGTAGAACGGTTTTTAAAATCTGGCATTCATCTGGGCAAACGTGATGGCGTCGAAGCGATCGTGGTCACTGACGGCAGGCACGGCGGTACACACAAATTGTTTTTTTAATGTACGAGGAAGCAGCAGACACTGACCTCGACAGACGACATGGCGTCGAAGCGTTCGTCATCGCTGTGGTGCGGCGCGCGCGCGCCCGGCCGCAGCCACACCTCGCGCCGCAGTGAGTGCCCATTCGACACCGACGCACTCGTAACGCTTGCATCGCTGTTTTCCCCACCCTTCGACGACTCCACAGCTCGCCGTTTCTTCTCCGCCGCCTCATACTATACATTCCAATAATGTCAACTATCTACTTTTTAATTAGATTAAAAATTAATCACATTAATAAAAAGTAACTATAAGATATAAAGTAACTATAAGAAGTTTCCTCGAGAATTTTCGACAGCTTAACCCACCATCACCGCCACACAGCCCACCTGATGGTAAGTGGTTGCTGTGGCCCATAGACATCTACATTTATCCTAGATTAAGAACCAAAACGCACATGCGTTGTCACCCGTGAGGACTAAGATGGAATGCCTCGTTTCCAGTAAAAAAGGATATCCGGATCTTTACACTTACCATACGAAACACAGTAATATTAAGCTGCTATTTTACGCTGATATTCTGTAAGAGCGTGGTCCTTCTCCTGTCGAGCCGAGCCATTCGTGCTACAACTATAATATCATAATATCAATCTAAATTATGACTCTGAGAGCGACAACTTCTAATATCGACCAATCCTCTCCCTGCGCGACCCCAACACGGCTACTAAGCCCTCCCTTTCCCCACGACAAGGCGGAACCCTGTTTCGTATCCAACGAGTCTCCATAGGTCATGTTGGAATTTTTTTATGTTATACATGTCTTTTGACACATTATAGAAAAGGTCTTTAACCAAAGGAATTAAAGAAGAAGATTTCCTTTTATCAACCAATAAAGAATCCACTTATCAAGTACCGTAATCAACACGCACGCCGAGTTTCCTTTCATTTTTTTTCAATCGGGACAGAATTCCAGGGATCGTCCTTTTCCTCATTTAAGTCCACTCCTGAATATGAGTCTCAAATTGTCGGCTTACTTAACGTAACGTACTTAGCTTACGTTAATGGTCACGCATGGCAGACGGATTGACGTTTGCAGTACCGGAGGTCGAGTAGTAACGTCGGGATCACTACCTCAATATATGGGTGTATAATAGACTGTGTATAATACAGATCACGCACCCAATACACCATTATACACAGTAGGGGGTAGGTCAGTATGGGTAGGTACTACCCTCTTACCTGTATCCGCTGTGCAGAAAGTTAATACATAAAATCACAACACTTTTACGTATCAATATACTCTTCAAACCAATAACTTAAAACTATAAAACAGAACAACAATCCGCCGGTACGAGCGTAACAATATTGTTTTAAAATCACTAGATACTGGCTGGTCTCACTTCATTCAGCCTATTTTGTGATGTCATTTGGAGGTCAAATAAAGGTCAAATAATTTCAAGCATTTTTGATAAAATGATTATTATTTTAAAAATTTCTGAGCAGCAAAACAAGATTTAGAAATGAACATTCCCAAACCGGTTCAAACTTAACATGGCTTATTTATATATTTACACCCATTTTATTTTACAATATTTAATAAAAATAATATTACGTGGTAGAGCCATGCTGCAGCTATATTATGGTTGTAGAACGAATGGCTCGGCTCGACAGGAGAAGGACCACGCTCTTAGAGAATACCAGCGTAAAATAGCAGCTTAATATTGCTGTGTTTCATATGGTGAGTGTAGAGATCCGGAGATCATTTTTTACTGCAAACGAGGCATTTCATCTTAGTCCTCAGGGGTGACAACGCATCTGCGTTTTGATTTTTAATCGAGGATAAATGTAGACGTCTATGGGTCACAGCAACCACTTACCATCAGGTGGACTGTGTGCTCGATTGTTACCTTTATTTTATAAAAAGAAATATTTTCAATTTCAACAAAGCACAACTTTAAAGAAGCAAGAACGGAAGGCAATGATTCACTATATATGCCGCAATTAATTACTTTATAATTACAAACAATACGAAGAATATCGCTTACTAGATAGTATATAATCTCACTATTAATATATTATATTTAAATAAAATAAATGTAACTTACCTTTTTTCTATTTTCATCAAACAATGATAATAGACTTTCACGTGCTGATTGAAATGGATTCGATGACATCAAACTTCTCATATAATAATAAACAGCATCTAATTTTCTTCTCTAAAAATAAAAATATTATACACAATAAAAAAAGTTCGGAATGTTTACATACAAAAAAACTTACATTATCAATCATACTCACAGCATATATTGCTAATAAAGCTAACTGATTATATGGCCTCCCATTTTTCGGGTTAATCTGCTGAGCTTTTGTATACCAAAATTTACTTTTGGCATAGTTATTTGTTTCATTCACTTGTTCCTTATACCTAGCTAAGTCTCCCAAGAAGACGTATAATTTTTGTACTGAAATTAAGGCTAATCCAACATATCCAAGGCCTTTGGGCGGCAAAACGTGATTATCATTTAAATAGTCATCCGTATTAAATTTATATGTTTTCTCCAACATTTGTATGAGATTCTCAAAAAAAACATTTCCCTCCTCAATAATTGTATTTATCAGTTTCACTATGTCTGGCTTTACCTCTGGAGGGACTTGCGATATGCTTCTTCTTAAAATTTCAATAAAATTATAATACAAAATTTTCCAAAACTGGTGCTCTATGTTATCAGACTGGCAATATTTTAAATCTGATATCAACAGCTTTTGAAGGGCACTTTGTAAAAAATTTCTGAAACAACAAAATTTACTTATACAGGCTCATATTGTGATTACATAATGTTTATAAAATAAATTATTCTTTTAGAGTAATCATATAGTTCAGTATAAAATAACTATAGGTTCGAATCCCAGCTAAAATTTAAATTTGCTCAACATTTGTTATTCACACGATTTAATCTGTTATTGTAAATACATGCAATTCTTCGATTTAACCTACTTTACACGGAATATAGGGGCGAGGAGACAACATGATAATATATTAAGAAATAGAGATCAATCAACCGAAAAAGCTCATGATTTTTCATCGGGAATAAACTAACTTTTAATTCTTGGTTACAGGTCTTTATTAAATCTAATCGGCATAAACAAAACAAATCAAATTGTAGGTAAGGACTAAGGAATTTTTTATTTCTACGACTACAATAGGACTTCAAGCAGCTGACGGTACCGTAGACAAAAAAATCATGTTTATCTATTATAACACATAATCATGATGACTATTTTTTGTCAAATTGAGCAAAACTAAGTAAGTAGTTTGTTGTCCTGTAGACAGAAAATGAGAGCAAACAAGTAGATACAATGCATACTATAATATAATTTATTTAGTAAAGTGAAATAATTACAGTGAATAGGAACGTGTCCAATTCAATTATAAAATATTATAATTAAATTTGTACAGTTTTATTTTACATTTAAAATATTTTAAATACGTGAAACATTACGAAGGCGCTGCTATCGGTACTAATAGGGCGACGCTTGAGGCGTGGAGTGAGGGAGCGCGGCGGGAGGTAACGGCATTCTTGGAGTGAACAAGTAGTAGCTGTGCATTGTGTTGGAGATAAAAAACGCCCTATAGTATGTGCCAAATCGATTGAGAATAACGGATCTTTCGGTCGTTTAACCAGGGGTTAACAAACCTTCAGTATATAGGCACTTTTTATATGTAGTGTACTTTCTTTATGTATAATGATTTTTTATTTTTTTTTATAGTGATTGATATAATATATATTTATTAACTATTATTAAAAAGTTATGTAAAAGATCGCTGTAGAAGAAAAATCATCTATTGTTATAAAGTACTTTATTCATTTAACAACAAAAAGCATTAATTTATAACACATATAAAGATTCGAGCGATAACGACACCGGATAAGTACGTACTTATTCAAAAGATAAACTTTATTTTCAATATTATATAAGAACTTTTTCTTTTTCAGATTCGGTGCATGCGGACCGGCCCAAAAAAAGGTGACGCATTTCTGGCTACTATTGTCACGTTTCTTTTAGAACGAACTGACGTAACACGCGTTTTGTTTATTTTAAAGGGATGAATTTGCAAAAGCTCAATATGGTGATTATATTGCTTCAAATATTTTTTTTAATATGAAACTGTTATTAAATGAATTGCTGTGTTAGTGTTACCACAAATTTAAATATAAAATATAACACATTTTCGCGATGTACCGTAAGATTTTACGATGTTTATAGGAACCACAGACAATATTATTTAAGAAACAAAAAAAAATTACAAAACATATGTGTGAATAATATCAATATTTAAATATTGTTATCACATCTAATTTGAGATTTTGTAAGTTACGCCTTTTGACACTCGGCTCATATCTCGGTCATTGTTCGTTTTTCTCAATCGATTTGGCACATACAAAAATATAGATGGCCCAACAAAAACAATCGTTAAAAAATGTAAAAAGTGAAAATGATTACTAAGGGCCACCAAATTACAATCAGAGATGTTGCCAATAATGTAAGCATGTTACAATTTAGCTAGTGAGATCAGTTTGTAGTTTTTGTTTACTTTTGTTTCGGGAAAAAACAATTCATGTTTTTAACACAACGGATAAGACAACTTGCTCTCACTTCTTAGTTGTTCATAATTTTTTCGCCTAAACAAAAACTGTAATGATAACCTAGCTTATTTTCACTAAAACAGAAGAAAATCTTGTAGGGCCAACATTTTTCAAGAACACCTGTTTCTAATTTTTTTAATACATACTACCACCATCATATGTAGTGTTATGATTTATGATTATAAATAAAAAAATCGGAAGCACTTTATCACCTACATTTCAAGCCGACTGGATCATGCATAGAAAGCACAGAAATAAACCATTCGTATCGGATACTTTTGTTAACAGACTTTTAGTTGTCATCCCGGTATCAAAGCAAACTACATTATCTACAACTAAATCTAGACAATTTAAAAAAAAACTAACAAAATTCTAAATTGCAAAACTAGCAGAAAGTTCTCTTATATTTTTTCATTTCATTTTTTTATGGTTTTTTTCGGGTAAAATTTGTTTCTTTCGACAAAATTATTAGTTATGCTTCTCTTATACGTTGAAATCACAAAATACATATAGAAAAAAAAACATTTTTTTTCATAGGTTTGGGTGACAAACGAGCACTCAGTCCACCTGAGTCGACGCTGTGGCCCATAAACATATTCATTTATCTTTGATTACAGCAGATGCGTTGTCATCCGTGAGGACTAAGATGTCCGTTTCCAATAAAAAGGATCTCCGGTTCTCTGCACTCACCATACGAAACACAGCAGCATTAAGCTACTATTTTACGCTGGTATTCTGTGAGAGCATGGTCCATCCCCGGTCGAGCTGACCCATTCGTGCTATAACTATACTACTAATATAACTGCAGCATGGCTGTACCACGTATGTATGATGATGTAGTTATATTATGAAGTATGTAAAGAGCGAACCTAGTTTCAATAAGATCATCCCAGTGTGAGGCGAGCGAGGCGGGGCCGCGCAGCGTGTGCGCGCGCAGCACAGCGTCGGCGCGCTCCACGCGCTGCAGCAGCGCCACGTGTCGCAGCGCGCGCGCCGCCTCGCCCGCAGCGCCCCCCGCGCCCGCCTCGCCAGTCTCGCTCGCCTCGTAGCCCGCACAGCTGCGGCTCGACGCCTCTTTCACGCCTGATAAATATACATCGGATAACTTTAAATAACTGACGGCTTCGTGTCGTAGTGGCTTAGTATTAAGTTGCGGCGCTGAGGAGCGCGGGTTCGAATCCAGCACGGAAGAAGTATTTGTATGGCCTACAAATAATTGTTCCTGGTGTGGATGTTTGTCCTTGTGCAATTTATATTTGTAAACTGCCTCCACGATACAAGAGAAAATCCTAGTGGGCGTTAACGTTTTTATTTAATAAGAAAATACGAAAAACCTGAAACACCTAAATGTTGCCAGTTACCGTTATCGTTTCCAATCAACACGCATTAGTACAGCGAGGTGGAGAATTCCTTGCCCTAAACGCTCTCAGATGCCAATTAATTTAATGTGTAATTTTTTTTTATTTTCATGTCATATTTGTGTAAATATAAGAAAATGTATATTCATAGGTTGATCGCTTAGTTTAGTGGTCATAGATCTTGGTTTCCTCTCGTATCCATGCAAAACGCAAATGGCTGACTTTAGAAACTGGTGTATTGTGCATGTTCCAATCAATACCTTTTCAAAGGTAGTTTACATTCTAACCTATTTGCGATATTATCGCTTAAGAGTAACATGAGTAGCTTGCGGAAGCGGTAATAGGAAGCGAATGCTGTATAGTCGCGGTAAACAAAATCAGTCAAGATAAGATAAACATCATTATCAACATATCATTAAAACATTACAAAACTTAATTCGAATTCTAAACTAAAATAATATTGGTACAGTGCACATGCTATATGTATTTAGGATTTGAGTAATATCTAGAAATTGCTAACAATTATATATCTATATTTTTAATTTGACTTTTTTAATTATGTTTTTCTATATACAAAGCCTAATTAAACAGATAATTACCATGCTCCATTCGGATATCTACTTTAGTGGGACTAGTTTGTACAATAATTGGTTTGGATGGATTTTGGTGATCAAACAAAGTCTTCCGCGTGTCGACAGAGCCGCAGCATCTGTAATATAAAAAAAATTATTAAATGAAATGACAGTAAAAGAAAAATCATCAGACTAAATCTATTTATGTATGCTTAGTTGTTTAGATTAACACGAAAAACCATGTCAGTTTCTTCGTTAAAAAGTTTTTTTTCCTTTTAATTAATATATGCTTACATACTAATTCGGTACTCCGTTTATACCATTGTCATTAACAAGTACTTCAACCTATTTATATATCAGTAAAGAATAAATTTCTACATACGAGGGTGACACTGAAAGTTCGTAGAAAACCAAAAACTGATCAAACTAGATAGTTATTAGTTTTATTATATCTTTTCAAAATAGTCTACATTTACACCAATACATCGCTGCATGCGATGGAACCACTGAGAAAAGCACTTTGGTCTCTTCGACGGCATTTTGAAACGCAGCCAATGCTTCCTCGGCGTTCATAAAAAGTTTTCCTTGAAGTTTTTCTTTTATTTTCGGAAATAAATAAAAATCGCAAAGTGCGGGGTCGGGGCTATAGGGCAGGACACCCAGTAATTTCACGTCTGGCGTCGCCAAGTAGTCGATTGTTTGCTTTGGCGAGTCGAGTGTGCGACGAGGCGTTGTCATGGTAAAGGAGGATCTTACCGCGAGGTCGTTTCTCCCGAACATTTTCCAAAACAAATGGCAAACAATTATTAGTGTGCCACTATGCAGTAACTGTTTTTCGATCCTCTGTAACAATTGCTGCGTAATGACCTGTCCTTCCGGAGAACGAGGCCACCATATTTATGCCACGCGTCGACCTCTCTTCACTTTAGTTGGCAACTCCTCAGAAGGAAACACCCAGACAGCAGACTGTCTCTTAGTTTCAGGATCATAACAATAAATCCAGTTTTCGTCACCCGTAAGTATGTCGAACACAGCATTTGTGTCACCTCGTTCTTATGCTCGTATTTTTGCATTCAGGCACAACACAACAATTTTTTAGATGATAACTCTTGCAAAATCGGCAAAATCGAGGACAGTGACGTCACGAGTTGAACAGCATGACTGCTAGCCTTTCCACGTGAAAATTTCAAACGATATATTAAAAGTAATTTTTATGCAACTATTATTCTTAAAAAAAAATTACATTAAAATTATAGTGCTTCATTATCACTCTAAGATTCATTCAAAACAATTTTTGAAAATGGGTGTAATACCCTATTACATGTTTAGGAGTCTATCTGGACTGGTATCACCTACTATCACTTACCTACTTCTGCCGCTCAGTAGGCGCGCACTTACCGCTGCGACAGAAATAGGTTTTATAAGGTTTGATGTAGTAATCACAAGCCACGAGATTATACATCCTAGTCCTCGTGAGCGACAAAGCAAATGTGGTTTTCTTTGTTTATAGTGGGTTGCAGGTGTCTAGACCACAGTAGCCACTTACACTTACACTTATCAGGTGGACTATTAGCTTGTTTGTCACACCTAATATTATAAAAATATTATGTTATCACATTAAACATTAATATTTTATTTCACGTATTAAAAAATATATAAAAAAAATTATTATTATGTAATCTACAATCTACATTGCTATTTGTATTATCACTTGTGGAGTTAGTTAAATTCTGACAGCTTAATAGTGCATGGACTTTTCTGTGATGATGAAGGTAAATCTGACATAAAAACTTAACTGTGGCTATCATTTTATAGGAAAAACTTTATTTTTCCCCTTAAACAGACTGATGATGACATAGGTCCCTTATTTTGTAGAGAGAATTCGCCACATGCGCAGGCACCAGAGGCAGATTAAATGTCGACGCGGCTTGTACCTCATCTGCCCTTCTCTGACAGCCATATATATAATAAATTGTAACTACTTATTTTGAAAATAAAACTATATTATAGTTAATTAAAATTTTGGCCGCGAATGGAAAAGGAGAACATCTCGTGCCGGACACGTCTTCAGACTAAAGAGCGGCCAACGCTCCGAGTGGTGTCTAAATCTATAATATTCTGTGACGTTAGTGCTATTAGCGTTTTTGACTACACTATCATCTGCTGCTGACTCAGGAACCGCGGTCTGTAAAGTCGCGTTAGCTATATAAAAGAGAAAGGCGATGATGATGACGATGATGATGGTTTATGATTTGGTTTGTTACTAATCATCAGGACCTCTTTATGGGATTTTTGAGCTAATATCTAATCGCATTTTTTATAGAATAAGGGTGACAAACGAGCACACAGTCCACCTGATAGTAAGCTGATGCTGTGGTCCATAGACATCTACATTGATCCTCGATTAAATATCAAAACGCAGATGCGTTGTCACCCCTGAGTAATAAGATGGAATGACTCGTTTCCAGTTAAAAAGGATCTCCGGATCTCCGGATCTCTACACTCACCATACCAAACACAACAGTATTAAGCTGCTATTTTACGCTGGTATTCTGTGAGAGCATGGTCCTTCCCCAATCGCGGCGACTCATTCCTGCTACAACCATAATATAGCTGCAGCGTGGCTCTACCACGTATGAAATGGTAATTGGTTTCTGGGCAGTGATAACCGCCCAGGTATGCGAGTGTACGGAGTATCCACGATTTGCGCGGGATTGCGTCGTGTAGTTGACTGTGTTTGCCACTAGAACCATTATCTTAACAGGTGGTCGTGAATTAAAAATGTTATGATAGTAAAGACAGCAAGAGAGATAGAATGCGTAAATTCTATTCCTCCCCTAATTGTGGGAAGTTCTTTTAATATTCGTATACATAAAACAATAATGCTGTGAATAAAATTATTGATTTTAACCATTACTTATTCAATTCAATTTGTAAAAATGTCAGTAACATCGCCATCAAGTTTGATTCAATGTTAAGTATTGTTAACAAATTTATTCTTTTATCTGCCACGGTTGAGTGAAGATAATTTTGTACTCTGTTTAGGCGAGAAAAACTTCGCTCAGCACTGCAGTTGATGAGTACCGTAGATACGCACATTCTTCGTTTAAGAACTATCGCGCCTTAAGGATAAATAGTTTGAATTAAGGGTAATTCGCCACTGCTTCCTGTGCGGACGATCGTAGTATCAGCCTTTTCGGACCTTTGACTTTGCTGACGGCTATGACGGAGTCGTCAATCTGAGGTTTTATTTAACATTCGTCATTAGTGTTTGATTAAATTGCCATCTGTCAGAAGTCCTTAAGAGCTCTCTAGGATTTCAAATAGTCCCTTCTTTCGACATCCACGGCATTAAATTAGGAGATGGATTCTCGTACGCCGCCAAGCACGAGAAAAAAACAGTAAAAGGTTGTAACTATAACAAATATTTCTATTCCTAGTCCTGTTAAGTATTAAGTTACTTAACCCTTTCGCTGCTCCACACGTATATATTCGCAAAAAAAACTTGTGTATCATACGCTCCTGACGAATATTTTCGCGCTTAGTTTTAAATTAGCTGCTCAATACGACTATTTTTACTATGTATTATTCATGTTTTAAAAAAAATAAACTGCTCTACACGAATAAACTCGCAATACTTAATTTCTTTAAACAGCTCAACACGAATTAATTCGCAGCGTTTAAATGGTCAAACTGCTCAACACGAATAAAGATGAAACTACTAAAATAAATGCGCACAGCAGGCACAAAATCTCAAAACGAATTGCGCAGCGAAAAGGTTAAAGTGCAATAGAGATCATATTACAACCTGAATACTCACTTTTTTATTTATTTAAGGGAATTGATAAGGCCAACGACTATTGTGTTTTTTACAAAAAACGAGAAAATCCTAAGAAAAATGATGATTTAAATTTATTTAAAACATCATTTTAGAAACATCACTGCCCGCGCCAGGCCCGCACCGCGGCGCGGCGTATGCTATTAGCACAAATTTTCTTAAAAAAACTTCGGTATCACTGCATGTATTGACGCAAAACATAAACAAGTGTTATGTACGTAAAATAAGCTTTTATAATAGATTTATTTGAAAACTAATTTTTTACCTGCTGGTGAGGCTCATTTACAAATTATAAGCTTTATACATAACAAACACAAATCAATCTAAGTAAACATCAAGTAATCTACATAATATTACCTAGTGGTCAACAACTAACATCAATTTTTCACATAAAGTAGTATAATTTTTTAAATCAAAATATAACTTAAATACTACAAGATTACAATATAATGGCTAAATAAAGGAACTAAAATCAGTTTTTTGAATCGTTTGGGGCTACTTAATTAAGTAAACTCGTCATTTATATAAAAGTGGCAACTGTGGCAGATATCCCCCATATAAGGCAATCCAAAGAGAAGGCATATTTTCAGGAAACTTTTGAGAGGCTTTAATATATGAATTAATTAACTAAGCGGTATTACAACATTTGTTTGTTCTCTCTACCATTCATTTACCTATTTGCATTATTTACACTATCTGAATTTGAAATGGATAACTTACCCGTCTTTTTGCAAAGTAGTCATAGAACTCTGTGGAAGAATAATTAAACCAGGTTGGGCGCCAGAGGTCTCTGTCACTGATTTTTCTGACAAAACACTGTTTAGTCTGTTTCGTTGATGTGTGCTGTCATTTTGTGATCTGAAAATGAATTATTGATTACTTTTATATGGTTTATATATTAGTATATTCTAGTCTAGGAAATAGGTCCTGTAATCAGCCCCATACTGGCAATAAGTTTTATACGTGGTAGAGCCATGCTGCAGTTATATTAGTGGTATAGTTGTAGCACGAATGGGTCGGCTCGACCGGGGAAGGACCACGCTCTCACAGAATACCAGCGTGAAATAGTAGCTTAACGCTGCTGTGTTTCGTATGGTGAGTGTAGAGAACCGGAGACGCTTTTACTGGAAACGAGGCATTCCATCTTAGTCCTCACGGGTGACAGCGCATCTACATTTTGATTCGTAATCGAGGATAGATGTAGATGTCTATGGGCCGCAGCAACTACTTACCATCAGGTGAACTGTGTGCTCGTTTGTCACCCTATCCTATAAAAAGTGTTGAGCGACCTCCCTCTATACGAAGTGACAAGCTGATAAAACCTGCAGATTCGATGTATGCTGGAAGCTCTAAGTGCTATAGTGAACTGTTAATGGACTGTAGTGACAGTGAAAGTAAATATCTTCCAGTCACATGGATTAGCTATAAGTGTGTCATATCCCATTGCACTGTTACATGTCGTGATTTGAAGCATTGTGTACCCACGTCCCAGTCAGTAAATTAGTTGTACAGCTATGTAAATTATAAATGGAAGTAGCATGTTTCTAAAACCTATATTTGGTTAGACTATAACACATATTTGTATCAAACTCTTTGTAAAATTAATTATAATAAATTCGATATAGTTCCGAAAACAGTATAATATGTATATAAAGTAGTACCAAGGTCGAAGAGTCCCAAGAGGTCCAAAACAAATTGAATATAATTTTTATGGGTTTTATAAAATGCTACGAAAAATCAAAAGTACCGATAAATTCTAAACCTATTCCTGAAAGAGAGTTGGTATTAACTAATTTATAATTATATTCTGAAACTAGCTGTGCCCCGCGGTTTCATCCGCGTATAACACGCGTCTGAGCCGCGCAACATGACATGACACCTACTTTAAGCATTTTGGATAACAATGTATGGAAAAATTGGCAAAATTATTGGAGTACTTTTATCTATCGGCATATTAACTTTATAAAGCGTAGTTAAATTTTATCCACTTTTTCTCCTCCTCCCGGGTGAACGTCACCACTGATCTTCTCTCGTCCCCCGTGCCTCAGAAAGTGTCCCAAAGCGCGGTTTTTTCCAGTTTCAAAGAAAACCGTACATGATACACGAAAAATGTTGAGGTGCGAAATGATCCTTGATAAATTTGCTATCAAACACTCATACATACAAAAGCGATATCACTTATAGTTTCCGAGCAATCTGCCCACGATATATGAACATTTTTATCATTTATAGAATTTTTTTTTGTTCAAAGTTGTTTCCTCAAAAAATTCCCACTTTGCCGCCAAGATACATATAACTAAAGTATAGAATATGTATTTTAAAAAGAAGTATAATTTATTTCTATGCTATATTGATTATTATTAATGATTATTATGCTATTATTAATTGATTGAGCCATTCATCGAAATATAGCTAAAAAATCGATAAATGATAGTGTTCATATATTTTGTGGCAGATTGCGCGGCTACTATAAGTTATATCGCTTTTGTATAAGTGGTTGATAGCAAGTTTATCAAGGATTATTTCATACCTACACACACACACACTATTTTCATGTATCGTGTACTGTTTTTTTAACTGGAAAATACCGCGATTCCGACACGCGGGGGTGACGCTCACCCGGGAGGGGGAGAGGGAGTAGATAAAATGTATCTTTGCTCTATAACGTACATATACCGATATATAAAATTACTCTATTAATTTTGCAAATTCTTTAGCTAAAATGAACAAATGGTTTCTCTCGGTTCTCATCGGGCGGCTAGTTTAGGAGTCGTTCGCGTGTCGAGCCGAGTGTTGAATCATTTTAATTTTTAATTATCTCTTAAACTATGCATCCAAATAATATGCTATAAGGAGTTAAGTTTATCTTTATAAAATTTCCTTGAAAAAGAAGTAATTTTCGTTCGTAAGGATTAACATGCCATGCCTAATAATAACGCTCACCTTATTGTGGCTTATGTATAAGAAATAGGCATATATTATCGCAGATATTTTTTTAGATATAGTAAAGATCTATATTTTTGTAGAACATTGTATTAACTATTACGCCAGAGCACACGGATAAACCATTTCGGTAGCGCTTTTTCTTCTGACTTGCTCAACAATATTTAAGGCTAGCTGAGAGATGTGGCCTAATGGTGATAGCCTATACTATTCCTTATAAATCTGGCTATAATATACAAAAATTTTCAACTCGGACTGGTATTTTTATAGATAAGATAAAGAAACAAAAAACACAAATAAAATAAAGAACTTTTTTGCTTTATTATATTAGTATAGATATTAAATGGGTTTTGGGATTATCTATGCTTTACCTTATTTCTAATCATAGTTTAACCATTTATAGCAACCCTATATAAGCATCATATATATGATATACTAATGAGTTAAGGTATTTAGTTATAACAAGAGCTTATAAACTCTGTCATAAATATGCATGTTGTGCTATGTCAGACAGACATAAAGCTAACCCAATAATAAGATAAAAGACAATATTAATAAGATAACAGAGTAGCGGAAAAAAAAACAGACAATCTTGATATGTTTTTGCGTCAAACCTGTCATTTTGTATTTGGTGTTTCTTCGACTCTAATATCTCCTCTCGCCAATTGATATTGGTGGGTGCAGGAATAGAACCAGGGGGGTGATTCGTGGGTGGTTGAACGTTCTCTGCATTTCGACCGCGGCGGCGAGAAGCACGCTTTCGAGACCGACGACTACCTCCTCCCCCACTAGCACCAACACCAGATTCACTTGTTGTTTCTTTATTTCCGATGCTGACGTTACTTGGCGCCGGAGACTGCCGTCTTCTCTCTATACTTGACGTTCGGCCGCTAAGCCAAGCTCCATTATTTTTCTAAAATTAAATGGGGATCATATTAGTGGTATCTTCCGAAACACAGCAGTGCCAACATTGCTACTTGGCGTCAGATATACGTAAGAACGTAGGGTACCTACCCACACGGAAAAGGAGTGTTACAACCAGTAATGATGAATGAAGCGTTCACATTCTATTAGATTCTATAAACGTCTTAATTTATCTCAGATTCTGAGAGCATTATAGAAAAACTGCATGATATATGTAATACTCTTCACCATGAAAAAGCAAACATTCAGGCATATACTCCTACTGCGGGCACGGAACTGTTTTCATTTCTAACATAGAAGTTTTAAGAGGATTTTAGGGCAAGTGTCCGCCGCGCGGCCTAAACGCGTGTTGGCGAACTTCACATATCTTCAAAAATAGTTTTCTTATTTATCAGACATTCAGGTTTCCTCACGATTTCACCGTGGAGCACGTGGTAAATCAACACTTAAAATTGCAATTAACAATTTCATTGGTACCGGCGGGGATCGAACCCGGGTTACTACGAGTATTGTGGTATAAGTGTGGTAAGGTGTGGTAGTGCAAGCGGTGTGGTGGCATGAAATACTGTCCCGCACTACAAAGTACACCAAGCCTTTCAGAGGCTAATTTGGCCTTCCCTTACAAGTGACGGCGGAACTGAAAATCATTCGATATGTCGACGCTGAGGATTCCAATGCTAGCTGAGGCAACGAAGTATCTTGAAAACAGGAGATACGACAAAGGGTTTCTTGTTGCTTCTGGCTGTAACACCGCGTGCAACTTTACAAGGCGCAAGTTTTTTTTTTAATAGGATTGGATGACAAACGAGCACACAGTCCACTTCATGGTAAGTGGTTGCTGTGGCCCATAGACATCTACATCTATCCTCGATTACGAATCAAAATGCAGATGCGTTGTCATCCGTGAGGACTTAGGTGAAATGCCTCGTTTCCAGTAAAAAGGGTCTCCGGTTCTCTACGCTCACCATACGAAACACAGCAACATTAAGCTACTATTTGACGCTGGTATTCTGTGAGAGCGTGGTCCTTCCCCGGTCGAGCCGACCCATTCGTGCTACAACTATACCACTAATATAACTGTAGCATGGCTCTACACGTAAGACGTGAACGTACAACATCTAAATGTAACGTTAAACATGGAATACTGTTCTCATCTCAGGGCAGGGGCACCCCAGTGCTAACTCCTTCTACTTGATCGCATCGTCGGTGACGGAAATCTTTCTAATCGGCTTCACTCACTAGCAAATCGAAGATACGTTACGTTTCTTTGCGTATTTTATCGCAATCTACCAAGGGGAGTGTTCAGAGGAATTGTTCGAACTAATTCCAGCTGCTCAATTTCACTATCATCGCGACAAAACTCGCGATACCAACCATACCATCTGGAAGATTAGCGGTCCACCACTGTGCAATTTACAAGAAGTTTTCTTCCTCGCTCAACTTACGCGTGGAATTTACTACCACCACCGATTTTCCGGACTGAGACGACTTACGGACCTTCTTTCTTCAAGATTATTTCCTTCACCGTCGAGCATGTGGAAAATTGTAAAATTGTGGTAAATTGTGTTAAAATAGTAATATAATACAAAAAACGAAATTTATTAATTTCATTGATGTCGGTGGGGATCGAACAAGTAGCCCGGATTAAACTCGCATACTTTGAAAGAGTGAAATTTGCAGTGAGCATTGAACAAATTTTATTGGTAAAATCAAAAAAAATCAGAAATCTCTGCGTAATAGTTAGTTAGTTACTACTAGTACTACTAGTACTAGCCTATTATACGTCCCAGAGCTGGGCACAGGCCTCCTTTTATTTCTAAGACTGTTTTCTGACAAGAAAGTATCCGCTGCGCCGCCCCAGTCGATGTTGGCGAACTTCACATGTCTTCAAAATATTTCACTTCCTAACAGTGGATTACAATAAACAAAAGAATAACAAGAGTTTCAACTTTTGTTCATTAATTATATGCACAATTTCGGAAAAATTATCCATTTTAAAAAACGTACATACAAAAACAAAAACGAAAAAAATGGAAACAAACCTGATTAGTTGACAGTGAAGATGCTGGTTTTGGTAATCTGAAACCATCAGCATCCCTCGGACTCATAGCTCGATTGGATGAGGTATCTCTACTGTTACATTGGGACAAAATCCTTCTGCAATATTTTAAGGAAAGTAAAGTTAATAAATCAGAAAGTATGAAAACACGAGTTATTAATTTAGAATGTATCTAAAACTACATTTTGTACCTTTCAGTACTCTGCTCCCTACTATATGATCGCACAGATCTCCATTTGTCTAAGTCATCTCTGCTATTTCCAATAGTTGAGGAGCGATTACTTCTATGGCTATCCCTTCTTTCCCTCTCTCTATGTTTTAGATTTGTTGATATTAATTCATGTTGAATGCTCACATTACTGTCTCTTCTATTTCGTTCAGGTTTACTTTGAGTACTAACATTACTATCCTTTCGTGTAGGTTCTCCCTTCTTCTCTGAATTTCTTTGGCCTCTACTAGAACTTCTATCATTAACAAATCAAATTAAACATAATGTAATCAAAAATGAGCACTTAATCATTTTGTTCTAAAATAAGGAAAAACAATGTATAGTTTAACCCAACTGACAACAAAGAGGGTATTGCTTTCCAAGTGTAAATATATATATACAATATGTAACATAATTAAAGCATACCCTCAGACACCCCAATTAGTATATTATGTTATAATCATAATACATACACTGAATTTTTAGTTAAACATTTTTATGCACTGATTATTTATCAAATTAGTTATACTAATTCCGGAAGAATGTTGTGGCCACAGTACAAATCCACGAACGCAGACTTTAACGTGCTTGAAATAAAGTTCATTTTTCTTTATTTTTATTGAATGACAGAATTAGTAATAATACAAATAAAACTGCACTCTTAAAAGTCTTATTGCCTTAAGTTACGGTCCATTTCAGATTGTTTTGACTGTACAAATTTAGTGTGATTGTAATTTACGTAGTTTTAATTATTTTTGGATTAAAAAATTACCTATATTAAAAATGATAGGAATCGATTCAGTAAACAATTCTGAACAAACTACTTTCTCAAAGTGCGTTAATTATGTTACGTGTTGTATATATATATATATATATATATATATATATATATATATATATATATATATATATATTTGGCACACTCTGTAGCCTAAACAGCTCGATGGATTTTAACATATAAAGGTAACAGGTAACAGGGGCAAAACAAGAAATGTCACAAAAAATCCAAAAGTTAATTTATGATGGCAACATTCTCATTTCTCAGTGTATTTTTATTTGGCATTATACAAAAAGCGTAAAAACAAGTTTTTTAAAGGGAAGGTCCATGTTGTAACGGAACGTAAGAAGAAATGTCCTAGCTGTCAAAATATTTAAGTCAACTTTGAGGTTATCTCGAGTGTTAGTTCGGAGTTGCTGTTTGTGATTTGAATAGATATTGTTATTTCGATTTACCGCTGTAAAAATGAGTAATAGTGATGAAGAATAATACTTTTGTGCATAACACAAAGAAACGAAAGAAAACAGGAAGAATGCGTGAAGTGATGAAAAAATTGAGAGTTTCTACGCACGAGCCAGGAGATGATTACAGATGTAAAAGATTGAAATGTTTTGATAGAATATCATCAGAGCAACGTGCAAAACTACTTAAAGACTTCAACATCATGAACTACACAGATGAACAAAATATATACTTATGTGGCTTGGCTTATGAATGTATGTTCAATAAAAAGGAGGCGAAGTAGAAAAACAGAAGAAATGGATGCTAATTTCCATCAAACGCATTTCACTTACAAAGTGAGGGTGATAGAAAATGATGAGACAAAAGAAGAACCTGTTTGCTACAAAGCATTTTTATCCATATTTGGCATTACCAAAGGAAAACTTGAACATCTTCAAAAGTCATTGAAAATGTCAGGTACTGCACCAAGTGACAAAAGAGGCAAGTCGGGTTCAAACAAGAGATTAGACAATAACATTAAATATTTGATATGTAATCATATAAAATCCTTTAAAGGACGGCAAAGTCACTACAGCTTGAATGATACAAAAAAAGAATATCTACCTGAGGACCTAAACATAAAGAAAATGTATAAGTTGTACTTAGATGCATACGAGTCACAAAATCATGTATCTTATGAAACTTACAGAACCATCTTTAATACAGAGTTTAATATATCATTTGGCTATCCCAGGACTGATACCTGTAGTGCTTGTGATGAATTCAAAATAAAAGCGAAGGCATTGAGAGCTGAAGGAAATATTGTAGAACTGAATCGGTTAACTATTCTGAACTATTTGCACAAGAGAAAGGCTCAAACATTTTATGATCGTAAGAAAAATGCAAGAATCAAGAGCAAAACAGATGTGGAATTTCAAGCAATTGCCATGGACTACCAGAAGAATGTGTCGTTGCCAAGCATCACCACAAGCGTTGTCTATTACAAACGTCAATTATCAATGTACTCTTTTAATATTCATGCATTGGGTGATGCAAGCTCCTATTTTTACACCTATCCAGAAACCTATGGACGTAAGGGTTTTCATGGGTTTGTTAAATATTGAAACAGAAATGAAGTGGTTTCATTTCTGTTTCAATATTTAACAAACCACCTGGATAGTCGTGTAAAGCATTTAGAAATATTTTGTGATTCAGCAGGTGGACAGAACAAGAACTACACAGTGATAAGGTTTATTCATTTTGTTGTCCACAAAATTAAACTTTTAAATTCTATCAAAATTACTTATCCAATACGAGGACATTCGTATTTAGAATGCGATAAAAATATGGGCCTAATCAATCTAAAAGCTCACATTGAAGTTCCATACCAATGGTATGATTTGCTGAGAGTAAGCCAAAGACCCAAACCCTTTGAGGTGATTGAGGTAGGAATAGGTGAACACATAAGAAAATTTACAATTTTTTTTAAAAATCTATACATGAAAAAATGCTCATTTCCTATTCAGTCCCAAAGAGAATTGAAGTGTGTACGAGAACACCCTAGAGTTATTTTACACAGAAGTAATTATAATGGTTTATGGGAGAAATCACCTATTGTGGCAAAAAAGGAACCCGGGTCAAATGACACATCAAATGAATTTGAATTGCCAGATTTTGCCTATATCAATTTCTTACCCATTAGTGCAGAAAAGTACAAGGACTTAATGGATTTAAAAAGATTTTGTTCTGAGGGGGCCCAATCCTACTTTGAAAGCATTCCTCATGCATGATCAGCAATGCATTTAGGTAGTTGGACATTCCTTGTATGGGACACACTGGACATTCCCAGTTATTGTATGTTGTAAAAGTAAACTACTTTAATTTTTTATTATTTTCAATTTTTTTATTTCCATAAAAGTATTTTTTCTTTCTTAAATTAACACTTTAAGAGGTAAACTTAACTAATTATTAGCAGTGTATAAGTTTAAGCCATACTTAAGAAAATTCTTAACTTTGAAATATAGAAATGTTAATTACACAACTTTTTGTTTTTATGACATTTCTTGTTTTGCCCCTGTACCCTTCGTATGGATTGAACATCAAAACAAAACAAATATACTTCTCATCAAAAAAAAATCGAAACACCTTCGTTTTAATTTGTTAAAAAATTGAAACACCTAATTTAATACAAAAGAGTTTTCATTCCATGAAAAAAAAAACGTTATTGTATAGCTGGCAATCTGGCCATTACAATGGTAAACGAAAATTCAAAATTCGAAATTAGAATTTCATTTGTTTAGGCTCGAACATTGCATCTAAGTCTGTCATCTGTTCATAGAGTCTACAACCGCTATCGAGAGACTGGTATGTTCACGTGCCGTTCTGGATCTGGCAGGAATCGGGTCACTTCTGAGAGACATGATCGATTTAGTGTATCAACTTCTTTACGAAACCGGCGCCTTAATGCAATTCAACTACAGCAGCAGCTTCAAGTTGTACGAAGGGTCGCTGTAAGTGACTCTACAATTAGAATAAGGTTGAAGGAACGTGGACTGGTACCACACAAGCCAGCAAATGGACCGAAATTAACTACAGACCATCGAAGAGCGCGCCTTGACTTTGCACGCGAGCACCTAAATTGGTTATACCTCCAATGGAGCAAAGTTCTCTTCTCTGATGAATGTAAAATCATGCTCTATGGTAACGACGGAAGGAACAAGGTCTACAGAAGAAATGAAGAACTCTTTGCACGATGCTGCATTGAAGAAAGAGTCAGTTATGGTGGTGGTTCGTGGACGGTTTGGGGAGGAATCAGCGCCGACGGTAAGACAGAGGTTGCCTTCGTGTCTGGGACACGTCTACCTGCTTTGAACTATCATCAGTACGTGGAACAGTGCCTAGAGCCTCACGTGATGCCCTATGCACACTTTATCGGCAACGGGTTCACATTTATGCACGATAACGCCAGAGCCCACACCGCGAGCGTCGTACGTGATTACCTTACCGAAGTCGGTATCTCCATAATGAAATGGCCAACAAGGAGCCCGGACATGAATCCAATTGAACATCTCTGGGATCAACTAAAAAAGGCAAATCCGAGCGAGAGATCCTGCCCCAGACTCACTTGACCAGCTGAAAAGTGCCATTCAGGAAGAATGAGACAACATCCCACAGAATGTCATCGTAACTCTAATCCGATCGATGAAAAACCAGATGGAAGCAGTGATAAGAGCTCGAGGAGTTATTAAACGCACTAGTTATTAAACGTTATTTAATAAAAAAAAACAGTTTTTTTTTTCACCTACGTGTGTTGTTTCATTCATTGCCTTCGTTCTCCATACAAAATAAAAATGACTCATTAAAGAAAACATGAAACCTATGAAAATTTAATTTGAATTTAGAACAATAACATTTAGAATTTGAAAACCTCATAAAACTCACTATTAAGCGACATTTGATATTTAATGATTTCTTATATTTACGCGAAAACTACGCATTGAAATAATACTAATTTTTACGGAATTTATCGCGTTATTTACTTTTCTACTTTGAGATTACAGCACATGGTGGGGGAGAGGTTTTTAGAGAATTGTCGTGTGTTGGAATTTGTATTCTTCGGAAATTAAAAAAAACTGATAGTCCTTACAAAACATAAACTTGCAAGGTGTTTCGATTTTTTTGATGAGAAGTATATTTTTGGAGTACCTACAGATTTGAAGAAATAAGTACTAGTAATGCTATTAACTTAGTGGGCTGTTAGGAGTTCACCAAAGTAATGGCGGATTCGAGCTCATGACTCAAGTTCGCAGTTGTACTCTTAACCATTAGGCTTCTACCACATCATTATTTATTTGTTACTTATAAATTTCTTTACACTATCGTCTAGTGATCGTAAATGCGACTGCTGATCAAGAGGTCCCGGGTTCGAATCCCGGGTCGGGCCAACATCAGTTACTGTTTTTCTGTCAAGAAGTTCTCAGTAGCAACCCGAAGTCAGGAAGTTGGTGGTATTTCACCCCCGTGCCTGAGAACACATG